GTTGTTCATTGTTATAATCGGTACATCATTATAAACAGTATTGTTGTAAGTGGAGCCAACTGCAGTACAAAGCTGCCTTCATTCTTGAGCTGTCCAGTGGCTAGTCTTAGCTTCACAATAAGTCTTTCCCCTGTCCCCACCTCAGGGTTGTGCTTGCTTTTCCGGATGCCACTACGAGATTCCAGTTTTGAACTTACACAGTCAATCCCGGATATATCGACCTCTAAGAGCATCACAAAATAGTTTGATATATCCATAATTTTAAATACAAAATATGCGTCTTTAAGGCCTAAATTAGGTTGAGAGAAAATGAACTTTGTTATTATTAGTGATATTTTAATGAAATTAGGTGTGTATATGTTTCTGCTGTTTTGGAAAATGTATTTAGTTTTAATCTATCTCAATTAGTTATCATATTATGAAAGAATAAGTGAAATCTACGTCATTTTTTACGGCCATTAGGACACTTTCCCTCAATATTTTTTGGCTCCGTTTAGGATGCAGCTGCAGCAAAGAATCTGCCATGTGGAGCTGTGCTATTTATATCGTTAGTGACATACATCATCATCATCATATAAAAATGGTGAATTGTGTTGAAGGTCCCTAATTTTAAAATGCAATTAGCTCACTTTATTGTTTACAAAATTTTATACGGCCAACTAAGCTATAAAAAGATAGCATAGCTCCACAGTTTCATTCCTTACGAGTTGAATGATTCAAAATCATTAACAGAAAGTTCCGAAAGGCTAGTCCTGCTGGCAAATAAATGTAAAGCCCAGAAAATCACATTTGAAGTTTTGACACTCATTGCCCCAATTTCTAAAAGAAATCTTTAAAGGGGCCCTGAAACACTTTTTTGAGTAACCATGAAATTAATTCACTGGAAAAGCATATTGCCTCAAAAAGTCAATGCCGCAAAAATTTTAACAGTATGTCCAGTATGAGCGGAGTTATTACAAGATTTGTCACACGCTGCAATAGCATTCTCTCTCCTCTCGTCACGACGAAAGCGCGGAAAGCTAAGCCGGGAGTAATGTCACGCGCGCCTCCTGACCTTGAGCACTTTTTCTTTTTCTTTGAATCTGCGAGTTTTGCAGTGTGATCGCGCGCGCACGCGTGGACATGTAGCGGCCTCCCGCGGCGATCTCAGCAACGACCGAGCGCGCCATGTTCAAATCAGCCAATGGCTGATGCGCCCAGAATAGATAGGTTTACTACAAGTGATTTTTGGGCTTATTCCATGATTTGTCGTGAGAAGAGAAAGCAATTTTTAGCTGACTGATAGTTTATTGCGAATTTGAAACAGCGTGCTGCGCTATAATATTCAGCTTGCGTGTTCTTGAGAGCCTTTACTACCGATAGGCAGCGTTTTCTGACCATGCTGAAAAAGTGTTGCAGGGCCCCTTTAACAATAAATTTTATTTACATGTTCCCTATCTGTTTCTCAGCTAAACAAAACAAAAAACGTCCAATTTCATTAAAAACATCACTTCTAAAATTTCCATTGTGAAAAGCATGATCTGAGCCCCACCATGGCAAGTGGTTAAGGGAGGGGTGAGTCCAGAAGAGACCACGGGGGATGAGACTATAGCCACTGGTTCCTCATATGTCTTTCCAGTCTTTGGAAAGAACCACCTAGATGTTAGGCAGCATGCTGCCCTGTGTAGTAGGTCGCTATAAACCGAGCGTCGCTTACACTCAGCCACATGTAGATGTAGCGTCCCAAGACAGAGCAGGGAACTGCATAGACTTCACATTTCTGATGAGTTCGTTTTACCCAGACGCGGTCAGCTCGACTGTAAAATCATGGCGAAACCAAGTGGGCGCTCCACCTTCCCCCTTCGCTGAATCGTCTTCGAAAGCAGAGCGAGAGATGCGCTGCATGTTTTGCTGCTCGCATGATCATTCTGCACACGCGCTTTACAGTTACTCCAACAAATTGGTGTGTAAATCACTAGCATACACAGGTCTGACCGCAGCGGATCGTAAACTGACTCCATCAAACTGTCGTCTCAATGGTGCACTTTAGCCGGCGCCTACTTGTTCCAAGCCCGCTTTTTACGGCTTCCAAAAGCTCACTGCAAGGATAGTTTCAGATGATGTTTTCTGGGCATCTCGATCGCATGAAAAACCTACTGGCACAAAGCAGAAACACGGTGCATCGAGAAAACGTGCATGAGCGCAAAAGCAAACGCACACGATCAGACAGCCACAGCGGCAAACGCAAAATACGTGAGAGAGAGAAAAAAATAATGACGCGTCGGTCACACGAGAGAGAGAAAAAAATAATGACGCGTCGGTCACACCAGCCAATGTGAGACACGAAATGGGACGCTGTGATGCCATTTTGAGATGGTGAAAATTATGCACAAAAGAACTAGCTTTAAATGTAGCTCGAAATGGCGGCGCTCAACAGGCTCCAACCCTCATGGCACGCGCGTGTACTTAAACAAATTTCATTTTTCCGGGAGCATTTTACAGCTGCCGGCACACCTCGAAGGCCAATTATATCACATTTTCCAATCAATTTTAGCATTATTAATTTGAGAGCGACTGCTCAGAAGTACAAACGAAAGTAAGTGTTGTGAAAAATCTATTTTATCGCCATTTTCAATCGCTCCAACACCCGCGTCCCCCCATCAAAGCATTTTAGGCCTCAGAAATTGTTACAAGTGCTAATCTAACGATTTGCTCACAGTATAATGAAGAACAAGGTGTGAAATACAAGCTACCATACTTTATTTCGGATGAAAATAGTTCGTAAGCTTGCCATGCTTCTTGCATGTCATCAAATTCAAGCCATCCTCAATATCACTGAAAGTTTTCAAATAAGTGAATTCAGCTCCTTCGACCACAACAGCATTCATTGATGCAGAGCACCGATGCAAGCTTTGAAGCACGGCAAAAGGTTGGTTAGCAGCAGCAGCGAAGGCGTTGACGTATTCATAACAACACGGGTACACTTCGGCATTGATGCAGTCAGAAACAGCTATGTCATCATCCACACCGATGAAATCGCTCACTATCCGAGATGGTGCCCCAAAACGCTGATAAGTCGCAGAATGCACTGAGGCACCGTATGCCATTGTCAGCAGTCATGATTCATGAGGCACCCGAAGTCGTTACCTAGCCCACAAGGAAAGTTTACGGTGGTGCTTTACTTGATGTGGCTACATGCGGGTGAATGTCCTGTTCCACTCCCGAATGAGGATTTATCAGGAACGAAGCGAGAAGTGCAGAAGACACACCAAAAAACGCAGTTCCCACTGCCAACATGTTAGCGATATCGATGTCACTTGTGGCTTTGTAGCTGGCAGCTGCATCTTCGAGCGACTTTGATGCTGTGCCGTGACGGCAGAAAGAGAATGTGTGGTCTGGTACGAGCTTGTTCTTCATCATCATCAGCGTCACCATGACCTATACATTCAAACCTCGATATAAAAATCCCGGATATGCTGTCGAATCTCATTAATTCGAACATGCTTAATTTGAACTTGCGGTTAAATAGAATCGACGCTCTGGTCCTGTCAAAGCTATATGCGTTCTAATGGGCGAAAACAGCCGTAATTCGAACGCGCAAGCACTTGCAACGATTAATTCAAACATACTGTGCTCTGAAAATGCCCTCAGCACCACGCCCAATCCCACGGCGGCACCTCCGACACGTCGACGCTGCGTGCGAAGAAGGTAAAGAAGGAAAGGCAAGAAAAGGCTGCGGCAGAATGTTTGCTCTCTCTCAAACAACGCTGACCTGCTACGTGCCGGTGCCAAGCTTCCCTTTCCCATTCCTGCCACGTAGAGACCCTGCTTTCAACGCCGCATGCGAAAGAAAAAAAAAAGCTGCTGCGGAGTGTTGCTTCTCTCTCAAATGCCGCTCTGCTTCTCTCCGCGTGGAGATGATGGAGACGCTCCTCCTTTCTCTTCATGAGCTGGCCACGTTGTGGCTGCGGCGCAGAGGGTAGCAGTGAAGACTCTGTCAACGTCATCTTCAGAGAGTGTCAGCGCTGGACATAGCCGCGTAACTTCTCTTGCCAGAAGAACGTTGAAGCCAAAGTATAAACGTTTTGGAAACAACTTGCGAAATTGATTGACTCGCTGCAAGAGAAACGTGTGCAGACGCGCATCACTGATTACTTCAATTAATGACGGATGTCCTGTGATTTGTGACTAAATGCAAGTGTTCTAAAACTTCCCCCTCGTGTGCGAGCTCAATGCACATGCGCCACTGCATTGTGAGCCCTCCGTTCACTTAGCTTGCATTAAATTCTAACTTCTTTTAATTCGAACAAATTTTTGGGCCACTTCGAGTTCGAACTATTGCGATTCGACTGTAGTGTTAAAAATATACCTTTTCCATAAATTTTTTGGACATAACGAACTTATTTTCATGTAAGATGCAATTTTGTTAGAAGGTTTGAGTATAGTGGGTACCAGGCATATGCTGCGTTATGACGGTAGAGAGAGAACGTGTGGTTCCGAATGCGCTTGTTCTTCCTTGTCATCAGCATCATCGTCAGCAGCAGCTACGGTGCATGACGCCAGACAACGGACATGCCTTTACAGGGTCAAGGCATGTCCGTTGTCTGGCGTCATGAAGAAGCTTAGCCCCTAAATTTGGTCTCAGATTTTTTTTTCACATCATTCTTGTGGTGTAAGTTTCCAACCACATAGGCCTTGAAACAAGAGAACGTCCAGTGAGTTTTGCTGCATTCGCTCACTTCAAAGCCAAGTGTGAACGGACCTCTCTCTCACGGACAAGCCACATTGAATTGCTCGCGTGTACAGGTTAATCGTGCGTTTTTATCAATTGCAGTGGCTGGGGAAACGGCTCGCATATGACCAAATCACAGTGCATTTTATATAACGTAGTCCATCTAAAAAAACTTTAGAATTTGTATCATTGCAAAACTCTAATCACCCATAATCGTATCATCGAGATTCTATTGTATCAAAGAAAAGTATACAGAAATATGCGTGTTATTTTTGATTAGAGACAGTACCTTGAAGTACCGGGATGCAACACGAACATTGTACTCTTGGCCAGGGTGGTAGAATTCAGCAAGACCCCAGTCTATCAGCCGCAAACGTCTGCATTCGTGGTCAATCATCACATTATGAGGCTTGACATCACGATGCATGATGCCCATAGAATGAGAGTAGTCCAGTGCCTTGAGCAGCTCATACAAATAGTAGCGAATGTCGTAGTCCGTCAGCGTCTGGTATAGCTGCTGCAGGGCCAAAAATGTGCAAAGATACTTTGTTCACTGTCACGGCCAGGAAGAATAGAGATTACTGCAACTACTTGGTTAGAGGCAGTACAAGGAAGAACAATGAGAGCAAGATGATAAACATAGCTCTGTGCTAATCATATATCTAGCTCAATGTCATTTCTTGTACAGCTCCCAGCTATGAATCAGACACACTTGCTCAATGCATCACTACAGTCGAACCCCTTTATAGGAGACATCGATGAAAGAGACCAATGAGTATGAGAGACACTAGTGTGCCTGCATTGAAATAGAGGTTGATAAGAAGATTCATACGTGGAACCTTGCTCATAAGAGACACTTCATATAAAAGACAAGAATTGCTGCACCGTGCATGTCTCCTATAAAGGGGTTTAACTGTATTATGAACATGAACTGTAAACCATTTAGCTGAACTTTTAAGGAATGACTGATAAGTAAACATCATCAAGACAACTATTTATCATGCTAATTTACTACCAGTTTATCGGACCGTCAAACCTCAATATATGAATCGCTACGCAAAAAAGGAAAGCGCGTGCGTCACGTTTACAAATCTCACGACCAGTTCGTACCACGCATAGTATACTGTAATGCTCTGTACATGTACATGCTAGCCTTATGCGACTAGGAGACCACGCAGTGAGCAATCCACACTAGGCAGGCTTCAGCCAGTGGCCACTAGGTGGCGACTACTTGATCTTGAAGCGAATAGTGCGGCAGTTATTCCAACCAAAACAATAAATACTTGGTTTGAAGTGAGTATTCATTGTGCTGTGCCATAAATGTGAAATTTTTCCATATACCTGATATATGAAATTTTGGCTATACGAAACTCTTTTGCAGTCTTGGCACAATATATTGATTCTTTACTGCAACTGTAATGGGTCACTGCATTTATCTTGGTGGAACAGTACCAAACAAGGTGCAATGGTTAGGTCACTTGGAAAGTATGAAGGTATGAGGCTTCTACTCAACAATGAAAACAGAAGTTGTACCGTATTTACTCACATATTGAACCCACCTTCTTTTTAAGGAAAAAAAAGGTGCCAATTAGGGGGAGGAGGATCATTAAATGAGAGAAAAAAGCCACAGGAGCTACAACAGCATAAATTTTGCATAGCTTATAATAAACTTGCTGTCCAACCACTGCTGGCCTTGCAATTCAGTGGCAGGACTACGGAGCCTCTCAACCTATTTTAGGATTTCACTCTCCATGAGAGGAAACTGTCCCTGTTTTGGCAGCAATGTGCGACAAACATTTTTTTGCAGCCCGAAGCTCTTCTCGTTTTCTCCCGTAACGAACGGGCACGGATCAACACTGAAGTGTAGACCAGCCACTCGGTCCCCATGCTGCAGGGCATGCTCAAACAGCTCCAAGTATAAAACCGGCTGTGTAGTTAGCGCACCACCCAATTGTGCCCCCTGCAGCAGGTTTCCAACAAAGTTCACTATGACAAACCCAACAACAAAAATGTAGCGTCGGATGGCGGTGCATGTTACGGGTGCACGTTGCATGGTTGCGCTTTGTTATAGTGCAGCTCTGCTTGCTGGCACTGTAAGCAATTAGGGTTCTTCTGCATTTGACAAATAGCGCTATGCCACAAAAGAAGCGACTAAAATTTTCATTGACGCCATCAACGCTTGAGCTGCTTCGCAACTGTTTAGCATGGATGGCTATTAAACTATTTTTCACATTTAATGCATAGTTCATTTGCGATATAGCGGGGCGATTTAACGTTTTGATAATCAACAGCAGTAGCTAACACACTGAAATAAAAATAAGTTTTTTATAGAAGTAAATACGATAAAACATGAGACAGGTCAATTAACCACACCTTAATACAAATAAGACATTCCACATTATTAAAGTTAACGGCTACAAGGTCTTTGCTTTAATGGCCTAGTTTTTATGTAAGAGTATCAAGAAGCGCAAGAAATTAACTTGTACGAGATATCAACTGAAATAAACATACCTTGAAGTCAGTGTTGTTGACATGTTCAAAGATCAGGGCAGGTGTCCTTGACTGAAAAGAAAAAGCTGCTTTACATAATGTATGCACATTTCTAATTCAACCTGCTACCTTGTCAACGCTTGCACGGACATCTATAGCAATAGCTGCTCAATCTCAGTTTTCCTTGGAGTAGTCTACTGGACAGTACCGAGTGCAAAAGTAAAAGCTTGCCTCAAGGGTTCATTGCAGAGGTTCTGGCATACCATTCTGCAGATAGTTAAGGCCTTTGCTTTTGATTAGGTCACTGACCTCTGGACAGTGTGTCTTTAAATGAACAAAAACACTTCACCACTATCCCTTGTAGTTTGTTGTATAAAATCAACATACAACTCTGAAAATGAACTCAAATCATGAAGATCTTCTGCCTAAAGGAATATTTTTAGGAGGGAACATGGTGTGCGCAGATATTTTCTTGTGCTTTATACCAAAACCTGATCAAACTAAATAAACTTGTTCAGTTTTTCACCCAGATTTCAAATATGCAATAACTCTTCTTAAAGGTCGACTAAAAGCTGCCTCTCTAATGTTTCCATGCAGAAGAAAGTGATCATCGGAGAACCAGATGCTACAATATACAATAACAGGGTGTCTACCAGTTTAATTTTTCGAAATTCCCCGACTTTTGCAGTTTTTCCATGATTTCCACGACTGAAACGTATGCTTGGAAAACTCTGCAGCAAACAATCCCTTGGTAAAAAAACAAAGATGCATGGGTTGCTATAATGTACAGACAAAAAACAATTTCTGCTTTTGCGACTCATTTTTTGACTAAAAACCAATTTGAAGATGCCTTTCCATCAGGCACGATCGCAAGTGGCTTAGCAAACACACTTTCAACACTCGTGCTTGGCACAGCCAGTACACATTCAACCATTGCAGGCACAGAACACGGCAAGTTCGGTTGAGCACTGAAAATCGCGCTGGTTTTAGTATGGCAAGCACTTTGTGACAAGCTCACAGCAGCCAGGAGTTTCTTGCTCACAAAATGGCTGGAAACGACAGTGATGCCCGTATTAATGAGAAAGAAAGTCTTCTGGCATGTCTTCTGTGCACTGAACCTTTCCTGTGTCCTTAGACACTGCTCTAATCCATAAAGCGTGTTCCGATACCTCCACGTTCATCAAATCAGAGGTAAATGAACACTTTGTTGTGGGACACACTGAGACTGATTCACAAAAAGAATGGCAATATGGCTGCAGCCCAGATAGCTTAGAATACGCCCCTAACTGAATTATCGTATCTACAATCGACTTCTGTCCCCCACCTGAATTTGTTTGCTAGGAATACTACTCGCATATTCTGAGAACTTTGCCAACATCCAGCGTCTGAAAAACAGAGTCGTGTCCTACTGCAATACTACTATTTTCACGATGGGCACACACATTTGCATATCACTTCTCTAAGTTCCGACACTTGGGGTGCAACGCAAGTCCGCTGACACTGAAAACTGGGGCTTAAAGATGTTGTGAAACCTCTTGCGCAAATTTTCAACTTCATGTGTATTTAGAACCCTGGCCTGTCCATACCCCTTGTGTTCCCTTGTATTTCCTGATAGTGATACTTCTTATCAATATTATACATCAACTCATTTCATCATCCGGGCTGATCAATTTCAATTCCCCGCTTATGTTCCCCTTAACTGCACAGCTGATGCCACTTTGAGTGAGCCAATGAAAAGTCTCAGTCATCGACAAAACATGGCTATGCAGCGATGTTCGCCGCCCCATAGTTGACGGAGGTTCGTAGCATCATACGATTTCAATTGCGGCGCCGTAAAGCCATCATGAACATTGTTTACTTTGATAAGTTGTGTGGCAATGTCTTATGACGCACGGTAAGAATAGCAAGGACTAAGCCACCCAAAAGGCTTTTTAAAACACATCCTGATGCAACCATAAGAAAAACAGCGGAATGTTGCACCAAGCAGGTGAAGGCAACACATGATGGAGCCCAGATGTACTTGGGAAAAGGAACCAAGCAGAACATTTGCTGTACTACCACAGTGTACAAAATTGCTATCTCAGTGTGCAAAAATTGCAGTGAAATTTTTTTTTCCTAGCCTACTATAAATATATCATTTTGAAGCAAAAGAAAGCTAAAATTTTGTTTATAACTTCTTTTACCGTGATGTTTCACTGATGTCAACTTTTGCCAAGCTGTTTTCTGTGGCTGCAGCTGAAGGAGCAACAATTTAAGCTTAGATCAATGGTAATGATTATTTACGTGACGGTTGCAGATTGTAGTCAGTTCCCACAACCTTTCCCTGTTTTTACAAGAATTCCATGACTATTACCCGGATTTTCCCTTTTCCTGGTTTCCCATGTTTTCCAGATTGGTAGGCACCCAGAATAAGTGCTACTGCAAACAGTTTTCAAATCGCATTACAAATCATATTGCAGTAAGTAGAAACTTAATTTATGTATTATGACTGTGAAGAAGAAGATGTGCCCGCAGCGAGCAGCATCGCCAACGCCCGGCTCTCTCGGCTCGTGCTTCGGTTCGTTGCTGTGCCGATCGCTGGACGGTTCTTCACGCTGTCTCGTCGCTGTCTTTAACGGCTAATAAACCTCCTCACATTTGGTGGAAGGTGCTGTTAATCCCCGTCGCTACACCCTGGAGCTGCGAAGCCGCACGCTAACACCTGTCATGACTGCCAACGCCACTACATCGACGCCTTCGCTCCAGTTCAACTGCCCTGGCCATCCTACGCTACGGGAGCCGAAGGTCTTCAGCGGTGCAGATGGGACCGACGTCGAAGACTGGCTGGAGCACTACGAACTGGTGAGCGCCAACAATATATGGGATGAAGCCGACAAGCTGGGCCACGTGATATTTTATCTCACTGGCGTCGCCGAATTGTGGTTTAATAACCACAAACACAACATCCCCACATGGAGCGTCTTCAAGACGTCATGTGCTGAAGTGTTCGGTCGGCCGGCTGTCCGCAAGCAGAGGGCAGAACAGCGCCTGCGCGTCCGCTCTCAGCAGACTGGCGAGACCTTTACCAGCTATATTGAGGACGTCGTCGACCTTTATCGTCGTGTGAATGACATCATGCCCGAATCTGACAAGGTCAAAAACATCCTGAAGGGCATCGACGACGGCGCATTTCAAATGCTCTTGGCAAGGAATCCAAGCACAGTTTCTGAAGTCGTCAGCTTGTGTCAGAGCTACGACGAGTTGAAAAAGCAACGCACTCTGACTAGGCAGCCTCAGCCTGGTGGTGAGTCGCTGTCCAGTTTCGACTCCATGCCGGACAATTCACCATTGCTTTAGCAAGTCCGAGCCTTCGTCCGTGAGGAAGTCGCCCGCCAACTTTCCCTAGTGCCCTTTACTCACGAGACCACCACCCGTCTACCTGCCCCGCTTCGCACTGCTATATCGGAAGAGGTTGCACAAGCTGTTCCTCTTGCGCACTACGAGCCACCTCTACCTAGCCGTGGTCACTGCCCGGGTGGCGCACAGCCGGTAGGCGCTCCTGTCGCCTATCCACCAGCCGTTCAGCCTGTGGCCGCGCCCCTAACGTATGCAGCGCAGCCTGTGGCTCCTCCTGTCGCCTTTTCGCAAGAGATGCAGCCCGTAGCCGCGCCGCTCACATATGCAGACGCTGTACGTAGGCTCCCGCAACCACCCTACACCACGCGCTCACAGCCCGCACACCCGGCTGCTTATACTGCACCTTGGGCGGCAGCACCAGTCGCCAATCCCTGGAGGACGCCCGATAACCGACCGATTTGCTACGCTTGCTTCACTCCCGGACACGTTGCTCGCTACTGCCGCCGTCGACCTCAGACGTTCGGCAACTATGCCCGGTCGTCGCATCCCGGCAGCCAACCCTTCGTCCAATACGGGCCCGTCTCGCCACCTCGCTATGCGCCTACTGACCACCTTGACTTCCAGCCGCAACGCGCACCCTCTCCTCGTCGGCGATCGCCCTCCCCCATGCGTCGCCGGCCCGGACCCTCCGACCAGGAAAACTAAGTAACGCAGTTCAAGAGGCAAGAACTGCGCCGTTTTCGAACTGTCTAAGCCCTCGCTCCTGTCCTGCTAACGTGGTCGCAGTAACTGTTGAAGGTTATTGTACTTTCGCCCTTGTGGACACTGGCGCCGCTGTTTCTGTATTGCCGCTAATCTCTGCCGTTTATTACGCAAAGTAACGACGCCGCTTTCCGGACTGTCGCTTCACACCGCAAGCGCACAGCAAGTAACGCCTCTCGCAGCCTGCACTGCAAGAATCTCCATCAAAGGCATTCTTTACATCGTGGAGTTTATTGTTCTTCCTGTCTGTTCGCATGACGTCATCCTCGGGTGGGACTTCCTATCCCGCCACAATGCCGTCATAGACTGCGCACGCGCCGAAGTTGAGTTTTCACCCTTGTGTGATGTCCCATTACTGGACGCTCCTCATCAGCCGCCGAAGTTGCTCGTTCATGAAGATCAGTATTTTATTTATTTATTTATAAATAAATAAATAAATAAATAAAATACTGATATTCCGCCTGGAAATTTCACTCTTGTTCCCGTTTCATGCAACGCCTACACTGACGCTACAATTCTTTTTATGCCTTCCGATATCTTCAAATGTCGTCGAGCTTTGCCGCTGCCTTTCGCAACAATTGACCTTGCCGCTGGAAGAAGCAACATGTTCGTAAGCAATCCGCTTTCCACACCTGTCACATTGCTTGTGGGGGAATGTCTCGGCCGCGTGCAGGATCTCGACCCTTCGTTTTTGTTTGATGTCCCGGACGACTACTGCGACCACCCAAAAGCACTGTCGGCACTCGAGGAGTCGTCCAATGATACGTTTTCCAGCGCCATCGCTGACACTCTCACTCCCACCGAACAAGCCGACCTGCTAGATCTTCTGCATGAGTTCAGGAGTTCGATGTGTCGCAACCTCAACTGGGCCGCACATCACAAGTCAAACATCATGTTGACACCGGCCTACACCAGCCACTGCGTCAAAGACCATACCGTGTCTCCGCTGAAGAGCGCCGCGTCATCAACGATCA